CTCCATATTTATTTATTTTTTTTTGTAGCACTGAATAATATTCTATTGTCTGAGTTACCCCGGTTTATCTATTCATCTACTGAAGGACATTGTGCTTGTCCCCAAGTATTGGCAACAACAAATAAAACTGAAAGCGACATGTGTGCAGAATTTTGTGTGGACATTTTCATTCTGGGCAAGTACCACAGAACATGATTGCTGGGTGACATTATGAGAGAGCATTAAGCTGGGCCAGGTGGTGGTGGCACACTCCTTTGATCCTAGCACCCAGGAGGCAGAGGCAGGTGGATCTCTGTGAGTTCGAGACCAGCCTGGTCTACAGAGCTAGTTCCAGGACAGCCATAGCTGTTGCACAGAGAAACCCTGTCTTGAAAAAAACAAAAATGCACACACACACACAAAGAAGTTAAGCTGAGCTGAGTGTGGTGGCACTCTCCTTTAATGCCATCACATGGGAGGCAGAGGCAGGAAGAAGGATCTCTATTAATTCGAGTCCAGCCTGATCTATAGAGTGAGTCCTCACACATCCAGGGGTATGTAGAAAGACTCTGTCTCAAAAACAAATAAATAATAAATAATTAAATAAATAAAACTGGGTGAGGCATCACATGCCTTTAGTCTTAGTACTTGAGATGCTAAGGCAGGAAGATTGCCTTAAATTCAAGGCCTGTGTAGTCTACATAGCCAGTAGAGAGTCATCCAGGGCTACATAACAAGACCCTGCTCAAAACACTACAAAACAAGAGACCAAAGCAAACAAGCAAATCACTTAAAACAAAACCAAATAAAAATGAAGTCTAGAATATAACCTCCTTTAATATATCTTGTGAGATCCTCCTCCCAAGTAGCTGTCCTGTGTATCCACTAACGATGATATCATTTCCTGTCATTCCTCATTCTTTTTTTTTTCTTTCCTTTTTTTGTTTCTCCAGACAGGATTTCTCTGTATAACCCTGGCTGTTCTGGAACTGGCTCTGTAGACGAGGCTGGCCTTGAATTCACAGGGATCCACCTGCTTCTGCCTCCTAAGTGCTGGGATTAAAGTCATGTACCACTACCACCAGGCTCAGGATTCTGAACTTTTGTTTTTCCAGTCAGCATTTCTTTGTGTAACAGCCTTAGCTGTCCTGGAACTCAGTCTGTTGACCAGGCTGGCCTCAAACTCATAGAGATCCGCTTGCCTCTGCTTCCCAAGTGCTGTGATTAAAGGTGTGTGCCACCTCTGCCCAGCTAGGATTTTGGACTTTTCAGAAGAAGATTTATTTGTTTTTATTATGTCCACATGAGTTCCTGTGCACTAGGTGCATGCAGGTGGCCAGGGGACCCAGAGCATGTCGGCACACTCAGAACTGGTGTTACAGACAGTTGTGAGTGTTGGGAACCAACCCAATTCCTCTGCAAGAACCCCAAGTGATCTTAACCCCTGACCCATCTCTTCAGCCACAATTCTGGACTTTTTGTTTGAGACAGGGTCTTACTGGGTAGCCCTAGTTAGCCTGAAACTCACTATTTGGATCAAGCTGCCCCTGCCTCCTTACTGCTGGGATTAAAGGTGCATGCATTCACACCCAGCATGAAGTTCCATATTTAGAACCATTTCTCAGTTGGTCTCTGTCACTATCAAGTGTTTTTTTTTTTTTCCCTCAGAAACACTTCCTATTATTACTCTTACTTAAAATTATTTTGTTATTATTTTAGGTGTATGGTGTTTTGCTGTGTGTTTCTGTGTATGCCTGTATCCATGGACTCCAGAAGAGGGCATTGGATCCCCTGGAACTGGAGTTACAGGCACTTATGAGCTGCCATGTGGGTTCTGGGACTCAAACCCAGGTCCTCTGGAAGGACAGTCAGTGCTCTTAACCACTGAGCCATCTCTCCAGCCCCTCCCCTGTTATTACTTTCAGTTTAATAATTCAAAACCCACTTCATCATGGTCAAAAGATATAAAACAAAGCAGAATTAAATCAAGCACTAGTAAGACGTCCCCTGGACCCACACGGTTGTATCTGGTGTCACTCTGCCTTTGATCTCTCTTAGCCTTGGTGGTTTCTCCTGAGCTTTCAAACACCTGGTCTCACTTCTGTCCTAGTTACTTTCCCTCTTATTATGACAAAATGCCTGACAAGAGTAACTAAAGAAAGGAAAGAAGGAAGGAGGGAGGGGGGGAGAGAAGGAAGGAAGGAAGCAAGCACACAAGCTTATTTTGGTTCATAGTTGGAGGGTACAGTCCCTCATGGTTGGGAAAATACTGGTGTCTGGAGCTTGAAGCAACTAGTCACATGACATCCACAGTCAGGAGGAAGAGAGATGAATGCCTATGCTCCGCCCATTTTCTCCTTTTTATGCCATCCAGAAACCCAGCTCTGGGAGGAACATCACCTTCCTTTGGGGGTTACTCTTCTCACCTCAGCTTTTCTAAGCCTTCAAGGCTATGCCCAGAGGCTAATGTCATTTAGATTAGCTTCTACAGTTGTGCCTGGAGGCCTGTCTCCTAGGTGATTCCAGAGCCTCTCTGGTTGGTGAGCATCATTACCTATCATAACTTCAAGAGACTGACTGACAAAAACCCTGACATTCAGCATGAGGCAGCTGAGGCAGGAAGAACACAAACTTGAGACCAATGTGGGCTGCATAGCCAAGTCTCCTCTCAAACAAACAAAACGCCCCAGGTATTGGTGGGATGGGAACTGGAGCTCACACACAGCTGATGGGAGAGTCAAACGGTACAAGGATGTCACAGCACCACTTGGCAGATCTACTGAACATAAACCTGCCCTAGTGACTAAGTGGTCCTGTCCTTGGTGAAGCTAGACAGCGGGCATGGCTGTGGTTAGCGTAGGAAATACGTGTGAGTTAGAGGTATTTCTTAGAGTCTCCACACAAGACTGGCCCAGAGCAGTCTATTAACACACAAGATCTTATTCAGCAGTGAGAATGGTCGGTCTTCGAACGCATGCCTCTTAAGGGGGACTCTCACCCAATGACTATAGAAAAGATACCAGACACACACCAGCACGTAGGGCTCAGTCCAATTCCAGGAAGAAGAAAACAGGTGGAATGGATCCTTGGAGAGAGGACAATTCCTCTAGGGGAGAACCTGGCTGGGAGGGGTTGTGTGGGAAGTTGTTAGAAGTTACTGGAACCTGATGCAGGCTGATGGTGACTTTGCTGTGTGTGTGGGTTAAATTCCCCAGAGATATACATTAAGGTCTGTGTAGGTGACTGACTGGCTGTGTTTTGTTTGCCTGTTTTGGGACTGATTCCAGGTGTAGTAGGCAGGCCTGCAACTCACCCTGTAGTTCAGAGTGGCAGTCCTCCTACCCCAGCCTCCCAAGTGCTGGGTGACAGGTGTGGGCTACCGCCTCAGGCCTTACTGTGTTTTACAATTATTCATGTGTATGAGAGAGTTTTGGGAGTTGGGTCTCTCCCTTTACTGTGTGGGTCCTGGGGATTGGAGTCAGGTCATTAGGCTTTGTGAAAAGTGCCTTTATCTGCTGAGACATCTCATTGGCTCCTTTACAGTGTTTTATGTCTAAATAAAAGGTCTCAGACATAAAGCCACCCATCCCCCAAACCAGCTCTGGAACCCATCAATTAGTGTCCTTGGCTGACACTGGTCCTGCCCATAATCTCCCTTGGTGGAATGAGTTTCCCAAACAGACCTAGTGCCTTGACCCTCCACCCTTCCAGAACTCTCTCCTCTACCTAGCACAGTGGTTCTACACCTTCCTAACACTGCCACCCTTTAAAATAGTTCCTCATTTTGTAGTGAACCCCAGCCATAAAATTATTCTGTTGCTACTTCATAATTGTAATTTTACTACTGTTATGAGTTGTAATGTACAGTTCCTCATTTTGTAGTGACCCCAGCCATAAAATTATTTTGTTGCTACTTCATAATTGTAATTTTACTACTGTTATGAGTTGTAATGTAAATATATGATATACAAAATATCTGATATGGGTTTGTGACCACAGGTTGAGAGCCATTGACCTAGAGGCACCTTGGACACACTGTTCCTCCCTCCCCCAAGTCCAGGCGCCCGGTGACTGTTGTGACCCACATTGCAGAAGTGACACTGGCTTTCTTCCAATGGCAGATCACAGATGGCGTGGCTTCCTCTGGATGTCTTTGACATACGGTTTTGAAACCACGATGTAGGAAGCTGATGGTTCTGATGCCACCATGCCATGGAGACCAAGCAGTGAGAGCTCAGAGTGAGCAGCCCCAGTGATCCTACCCAATGAATGGTCCATACGGCTCGCTATCTTGCCGGGTCCTACCCCACACAGACGCCTGAGCTCATCTTACACCCAGCTTGCCTCAGCCTGCTCCATCCTGGGGTGGGCTGCGACACAGAGCTATTTAACAGAAACACCTGTCTACCTTCTTCCCCAGGGCCCTTTCTGCTCCACCGCACCAGCCCTCCAGTGTGCCCACTTCCCCATAGCAGAAACGCCTCCCTTCCCAGCTTCGGCAATCTGGTCACTCTTCCAGGCCAGATACTGCCACACCTCTTCCAGGAAGCCTTCAGTTTGCAGTGCCTAGCAGTGGCGGGAGTAGATCATGACTAGGTTCGAATCCCAGGCTACCTACTCCCCAGTTGGGCTCTTGGACAGGGAACATGTGACTCAGCCTCAGATTCCTGATACATAAAGTCTCAGTAGTCACTGTGGATATTTCACACGGGGACTGAAAAGGATCACATTACGGGAAGTACACAGACTGTCCCAGCCACAAGAGCCCTCTGGAATGTTGGCAGTTATTGTTGTCCCGGGTCTCAGAGGCTTGTCCTCTGATCTCCAGAGTCCCATTCACTGGTAACTTAATGATATTATCTGTTCATTCTTTTGTTCATTCTTTTGTTTGTTTGTTTGTTTTGGTTTTTTGAGACGGGGTTTCTCTGTGTAGCTTTGGAGCCTATCCTGGCACTTGCTCTGGAGACCAGGCTGGCCTCGAACTCACAGAGATCTGCCTGCCTCTCCCTCCCGAGTGCTGGGATTAAAGGTGAGTGCCACCAACATCCGGCTTGTTCATTCTTTTTATACATGGTGAGATGGGCTAAATTGGAAGCCAGCAGTAGTCCACCACATTGACTCATCTACCTACTTGTCCGTTGGCATCACCGGCAACTCTGGGGACAAGCTGTATGCCTGGTTCTGAGTCCAGATTCAGGGAAGCAGTGGTGGGGGAGGTGGGCCCCATCTTGGCCATCAGAGGCTTCCATTCTCTTGGGAAGGTATCAAAGAACATCAAAGAGGAGATAGGAGTGCAAAAGGAGAAATAGTTGAGTATTCCCCTCCCTCTCTAATGGGTATAGGGGGCAAACGTGCAGTGAGAACTGAGGAGGGGGTAGATGGGAGCCAGAAATGAGGAAGGGGTGGGAATGTAGAGCAGGCAGAGCGATCAGAATGGTGGGAGGGTTCTGAGGGGAGGTTAGGTGGATGAGTGTAGCCTGAGGCCATTTGCATTGCCAGTGTCCTGAGTGGTCCCCAGGTACGGACTTGGAAATCACAACACTATACAACCAGGCTTTCCTGTACCCAGGTTCTAATCCATGGATTCAATCAACCTCAGATTGGAAATATTCTGGGAGAAAAACAAAAAACAAACCCAAACCAAACCCTCTGGGCATCATAGTTCGTATTTGTAATCCCACTACTTGGGGACTGAGGCAGGAGGATGGCTGCAAGTTTAAGGGCAGCCTTGTTTACAAGCCATGCCTTGTTCCCCCAAACAAAAACAAGGGGCTGGAGAGATGATTGGGTGGTTAAGAGCTCTTGTTGCTATAGCAGAGGATGGGATTTGGTTCCCAGCTCCTACTTGGGTGGCTCTCTATTGCCTATAGTTGCAGCCACAGGGGATTTGACACATAAGCAGGAAAGATAAGCTCACAAAAGGAGAAGTGAACCCCCTAAATTTCAGGAACACACATAGGGCTGAAAAGAGGGCTGAACACAGCCTTTCTCATTCTACCAGGGGCCTGTTGCCATGAAGGTTGGGGCCCTGGCTGGGATTGTGGCTCTGCCCCAGACCTTATTTCTTACCTGGGCAGCACCTGGTCTGTATCCAGGTTGGTGAGATAGAGAGTTCAGGACTTGGCACAGGGTCAGCTGCTGAACCCATCTATATCTTCCAACCTTAAGCGACGTCCCCTGTGAACATCAGGGGAGATTATTCACTAGCCTTCCTGGCAGGGGTGGCTCTCTCAGCATCTCCTTCAGGGTTAGGGGGTTGGTGGGACACTGTGAATCATGAAGACAAAGGCAAGGAGGACCCATGGCTTGTGATGGTGCAAGCTAAAGCAAGCAGGAAGCCTGGTCCCTTTGGAAGGATTAGGTGAGTCCTCAGGATTCTGAACTGGCAGTTCCTTCTGCCTGTCCCAACCCTTCTTCTCACCTTCTCCTCAGCTGGGCTTTTGGATGCCCCTGGGCAGAGGTGAAGGGTTTTTCAGCAGTGACTGCAGAGGAGGGCCTATCTCTCAGGGTCTTCAGGCCTTCAAATGGGGTCAGGGCACATACAGGTGAAACAGGAGGGGATGTCACAGTCACACACCAACACCCACGCTAGCTCCACAGTCACCAGTGCATGCAACTTCAGGAAACCTGTGACTTCTCAGAAAGGGACAGGAGGTCCCCAGCTGATGGTTTGTGTACCTGATCAGAGTGCACTTACAGAACGTGTTGGTATATAACACATTTGAAGTCACTAGATAAATCAATTGTTGTCTCCTGTCCAGCCCAGGTCACAAAGAGGAGGTGGGGGCTGGGATTTGAATCGGGACCTTCGTGATACCAGGTGGGGCAGGCAGCACCAGGAACCCCTGCCAGTCCCTGGGGGCAGTGACTCAGGGGCAGGTCCCCACATCCCTTCTCCTACCCCTCCCTTTCCAGCTGACTCAGCCAGACTGTCCAGGGCCTTTCTCTGGAATTCTGGGCCCCAGGCAGTGTTCTTGGTCACCTCCTCTTGTAGGCAGGACACACCCTTAATAGAGACACTACACTAGCTGCCGTCTGACCTCAGTCTCCTCTCTGCTGCAGGTTTGCTGGGTTGAACATCTCTTCCAACCACTTTGGGGGAAGAGGAGGCACACACAAGACCCTTGCGGAAGCTGGGAGGTACAGCCTGGGAAAGGGATGGCCAGTCCAGCCTCAGTATCTTGTCTCTCCACAGCTGTTTAGCTCTTCTCTCTGGTCTTAACCCATTTCCCCATTTGCTCCTACCTCCTAGCTCAGCCTTACCTCCGGCCTTATGCCCCACCCAAGGCCAGGTGGGCACACATCTCTGTTATTGGCTGAAACTAGGATGAGTCACTATTTCTGTTCCCTGCTGCCAAGCTGCTGGGGACAGCCAAGTGGGGGAAGGGATGTGGGGACAGGGCCACATCGTACACACCCATCCTCCTCCCCCCTCTGTCTGTCTATCTTTTTGTCTGTCTGTCTCTTTCTCCCTTTTGGATATCCCCAGCTCTCTAGGAGACTAAAATTCCTGGGATGCCATCAGAGGTCTTCAGAGAGGAAGGAGCAGGTGCTAGAACCCAGGCAGCCCTGAAAAGTGGGAGAAAAAGGGGATCCTAACCTCTACAACCTCCATGGCTGGCTCGGGGAAGACACTGGTTACATAGCCTCACTCTGATAACATGAGGGTTGACACCCTGTTGGCTCCTCACTAGCCTGTGCTCCATGCCCCCTCTAAATTCCTCTCCCTTCTGTCCCATTCCTCGGTGTTGAATTTGGAACATTCTAGCCCACTCCAACTAGTAGGTGAGCAGGGTAGTCCCGGGGAGATGGGGCGTCGAGAAAGCAGCAGAGTGGCCAGAGAGGTAGAAGAAGTCCTTGCCTGCAAGAGGGTGACATTTGATCTTAGCTCTGTTTGGCCAGAGAAGATCAGGCTAGGAGCAGAGGGATACATATTCTAGGTAGAGGTGAGGCAGAGATAAGCAGGTGGCAGGAACAGATCACGGCCTGTGGGTGAGTAGGGGTTGGGGGGGAGTACACATCGCTAGCAGGTCTGGGGCGTTTATATCTTCCAGTTTGGTGGAAAAACTGGGAAGGTTCAAACCTGAGAGAAATCTATTTTGAAATGATCTCTCAAGGATGTGAGTTTGTAGTCTCAGCTACTTGGGATGCTGAGGCAGAATTACTTGAGCCAGGGAATTTGAGGCTAGTATGGGCAGTCTAGTGAGATCTCATCTCAGCAAAAAAAAAAAAATAAAAAAATAAAAAAAAATAAAGAATAACTTCTGGCTGTTCAGTGGGAAAACACACTGTGACTTAGAGGTGGGGGTGTGGAGGGGCCAGAGGTGGTGGGACATGGAAGGGTTTAAACCTGGGGATGTGGCCAGGTGGTGGTGGCACATGCCTTTGATCACCACACTCAGGAGGCAGAGGCAGGTGAATCTCTGTGAGTTCAAGGCCAGCCTAGGATACAGAGTGAGTTGCCGGACAGCTAGGGCTGTTACACAGAAACCCTGTCTTGAAAAACCAAACAAAAACTAAAAAACCTGGGGATGTGCTCCTTGATGAGTTGGGAAAAGAACGGACTTTGAAGATGGATCAGCCCCATCTCACATACACCATCTATTCCTGCACAGAGAAGACCCATCACTCACATTCGGCTATACCTGTAAGGGAAAGGCCTTTGCCCAATGTCAGTCCCCAGGGCAACAGGTTTGCTCTTCCACTGTCCTCCCTGGGTGTGACTGGCACTGTTCATCCCTTGTCATTGCTTACAGGGAAATGGAGCCTTAGGGAGGACCAGCACTTCTGGTCAGGAGCCTGGGGACCAAAGGGTGCTGGCATAGGGGCTCTACCCTCTGTTTCCCTGCAACAGCCTTGTTTTCCTGGCATGGTGACAGGGAGAAGAGTAATGGAGCAGAAGCCACAAGAACACAGTATTAGAAGGGATGTTTAATGGTATTCATCCACCCACCAGCTGGGGACACCTGGGGACAGCTGAGCAGGTGCATCTGATGACTATGGAGATGTGGGCATGGTGCTGAGTGTCTGCTGCCTCCAGGCAAGTGTGTGTATGTGCATGTGAGTGTATGCGTGTATACAATTGTGTGTGCATGTATGTGCATCGAAGTGTGGTATCTACATAGTTGTGTATATGATTATGTGTAACCATGTGTTCACGTGTGTCTCTATAACTGTGCATATGTGAGTGTATCTGTTAGATGTGTGTGTAAAATTGTGCATGTGCCTTTGAGTGTGTCTATGTAACCATGTGTGTCCATGTGAGTGTGGCATTGTAAATATGTGTATAGTTGTGTGTGTGTGTGTAACCATGTACATGGTATGTGTGTAATCCTGTGTATTCCTGCTGGTATGTCTGTGAATAGTGAATGTATCTGTGTGTCCATGTGAATGTGTCTGTGAAGCCAAGTGTGTGTCTGTGAGTATGTATGTGACCGTGTGTGCACATGTGGCTGTTTCAGGATCTCTACAGCTTCTTTAAGACTGGCTCTGGGACCTGATGTGACCCAGTGACCCCCATGCTGTTGCCCTGTCAGCTTACAGTGGACTCTTAGTTTCAGTGCCTAATCCTTGGCCCTGTTTTCCCCTCTGATGAGAGAATAATTAACCAAGGACTCATTTTCCAGGCTTCCTTCCCATTATCCCTGCCAAATGAAAATAATCACTACAGGGAGGAGACGCTGCTTGCTGTGGGAAGCATAGAGTCAGGGTGTCCATGGCCCCAGAGGAGAGGTACTCCTTGGGAGGGAACCTGGAGCCTGGGAAGGAAAAAGGGCCCGGGCTGGATCAGCACTACCCCACGTGTGGCAAGTTCTAGCCCTCCCCGGCCTCTGTAGGTGTGTAGGTTTGCACTAGAATTCGATCCTTCTAAGGGGGTTCTTTTGAAGGTGAAAAGGTGATATTCCAAACAAAACCAAGCCAACCACAGCCCGTGGTTGCTTAAGGCTGGAAAAAGAACTAGGTTATGTGGGTAAACGAGGACTGTTCCTTCAGGGCCTTTGTGGTTGAACCTTGTTTCCTTGGGGGAGTGATGTGTTGAATCCAGAAGGTAATGGGTGGGTTGGGGACTCACACATCTTTCCAGCTCCTTCTGTGTCCTCTCAACCCTGCTACTCTCACGCTGAGGGCACTTTCCAGTGCCCGGAGAGCAGCTACCACGTGACTGCAGACATACCTTATTGTGAGAGTGAGTGCTAGTCCCCAAGGTGGAGGGGAGTTTTGAGGCTGCTTATCTCAAGTAATTGTCTTTAACCACAAAGCCCTCCTCAAGCATCTCAGATTACAGTCTGGAGGAACAGCCACTGAGAAATGCAAGCATCCTGGTCCCCATGTACCATCAACTTGACTCAGGAAGGGAGGTGCAGTGTGGATGTCTGCAGGGACTGACTCCCATCTTTGGAAAGGTGCCCAGGACCCCTCCCCTCTGCTGCTCACACAGGCTGTCCTGAGCTTGGGGGAAGATGCGAGCTCTTGGCAATGTGTTTGGGAACACTAAGACTGGGGAGGGGCAAGTCCTTGTCCAGGTCATTGGCGGATAAGAGGCCCAGCTGGGGAACAGGGTACAATGATTCCAACACTGAACCAGTCTGGTTCACAGCAGATCAGGGGCTTGTAAATGCTTTGACAACGTGTTTGGGGGAGGGAGAGGCATGTGAGTGTCCTGACCCGGGTTGAAGTTCCGCCCAACACTATAAGGCTATTATCCCAGAAGATGGACAAGTGTGCAAGTTCTGCCTGCTTCTGAGGCCCTGTCCCACACTTTACAGCTACTTCCTGAGAAACAGACACGGGTTATGCCCAGGTATGTGGCTCCAGGAAGAGTGGATATATACCGTACAGGTTGGTGGGTGTGATGGGGTCCTATGTGTGAGGTCTCAACCCAGAGCCTGCTAAGTTGATGTAACCTGTTTGCCGCAGGACGTGTGTGGCTAGCGCAGCGAACACTTCTTGTTGTCCAGGGCTCCGGGTGGCCAGTTGCACCCTGGCTTCGGGCATGTGGTGGGTGCGGACAGCTGTTGCACGCGTGGCCCGGGCTAGGTGCGCAGCGACG